GACGTAAGTGTTCAAAATTCTGTACATTTGATGTAAATGATTTACAACAAATTTACAGAATTTTGGATACTTATATGCTTATATGTCTTTATGCTCTTCAGAGTTTTCATGGAAATAATCTTAAACAAAGCACGCGTCTTTCTCTCAGATTTGTATTATATATTATTTCATACTTGATTCAGTTTTCTTTGTTATTCATAGTTTTGTATCTCGCTTATTCCACAGCTCATTGTGTATTCAAGTGCTTTATATCGAAGTTTGAGGGATATTATACACTTAATGACTGTTCCCAAGGGAAACGGTTAGTTTTGTTTCCCGAGAATCTCAATGTTTCCCGAGGTACGCCGTGAGATTCTCGGGAAACAAAACTAACCGTTTCCCTTGGGAACAGTCATTAAGTGTATAATATTGCCCTTGAATACTTAATTACATGGGCTTCCAAAGGAAGACCATGTCTTAAATTACCGACGTTTTTCGTCTGTGGTATGCTTCAAATTATATCCGGGACCTTTTCATTTTTGACATCTATTGTCTTACTGTCATTCATATTTCTAAGCAACGATTCAAAGGTCGCCTCGTGCTTCTTCGGACCTTCGTATAGCCGGAAAAGTCGAATCTAGGTCATCTAGCTTCTACAAATACGCTAGATTCTTTTACAAATCCACACACCATTCGCGGCATAGCCACACTGAAAAAATTCGAGCGTTTCTCAAAAGGGCATTTGGTGAGATACGGCGAATTTATATCGTGAATCTACCGATCGTGAATTATCTACTATCAACATTAGCTTATCAAAAGCTAACTTATACTAGTACAGGCTCTACAATCACCAAGGACTTATCTAAGACATGTCAACAGATTTATACTGAGAAAAACAGAGGATTGGAAGTATTTTAAGCGAAGAACATGAAAGACTCGATCTGTTGCGACTCTTAAAGTAACGGCTCGTCAAACATAAATTACTTCTTTGACAATATTATGAAATTCTACTGAGTACATTGCTTGTTTSATTATTTTTCATTAAAGGAAATCTTCTTTCGCTGKTGTCTTAGTAATATTAATTTCATTAGGGTTCAATATCATTTACTGATTGTGATATACCACAGGAAGCCCATGTAAACGATCGCTGATCGTCTAGTTAACTACTACGTTCAACTCAGAAATTTTCCATCTGAAACTTTAAACTTGAAAGAAAGAAAGAAAAATTCAAATGACATGAAGTAGATTCGAACCCACAACCTTAGCTTTGAAAATCCTATACTTAACACGTTATGCTAACTGACTAATCGATGTCAGTTATGGAATAAAACAGTTATTTAACATTGTCCAGTTACTTGGTCTCATGGGACTAACGAGGAAAATGGTTATGCAAATTATTCCCGTTGGGAATTATCAATACTGTAAATTTCGTAACCTTTCTAATCGAGGTTTTGGTTTTAATTACGTGGGCTTCCTGTGGAAGTCCACGTCTTAAAATGCAACTGGCGATTTCGTCGTGGTGGTGAATATTACGCTTCAAATTGGTAGCGCATCGATAGCGCATGCGTTGCAGTCTCAGTTTCCATGGAGATGTCAAAATAAACCAATCAGCGATTTTTGGTAGCGCCTGCGTTGCAGATGGACTGCAGTCTCAGAATGAAAACGGCAAAAAGTTGTCTCTTTTCAAATGGTTCTAATAAAATGCTCTAAAGAGCTGAAAATCTTACAAAATCAACTGATTACCATCCAAACGACATGGATTGAGGTATATAATTCAAGATTAGCGGATGATTCGTGCAGAAATGACTGGGCATTTTCTACCGCCGACTCGAAGAGCACTACTTCTTCTTCGACACACAAGTGTTCGATGTCAAACAGAAAATCTTCAAAAATAAGAAATCACATGGATATTTAAGGTTCATACTTTGACAGAAAACAATCATTCGATGGAAGAAAGCATATCAAACCTCATCTGAAAAATATTGATGCCATTTTCTAAACTAACGATGTGTTTGAAGTTCGGAAAACTGCACGTGTGAGCTTTACTGAACTCTGTATACAAAAT